GTTTGTTATTGTGTTATTGTCTTTGGGGTGAAATGTTTGGGAGTCGTCTTACAAGAGGCTCGCCCTGTGGTTGTTTTTAGTATAAAATGGTAAAAAAAAACCAATAACGAAAAAAATAAAACAATATACAATGTTGCCATTAGACACGCGATCATTTGGCACGAAAATTATTTTCATTTTGTTGCTTTTTATTGCTCTATTGTGTAAATGGCTTGGTGTTGGCATTGGTCGTTCTATTTCTGTAGAAATAATAATAAACAACTACAAACAATCCAAGTTCACGTGTAAGTTCCATACTAAGTGAAACGTAATAAAATTAATTATTGTTTAAATAATTACAATCATTGTCCAACAAACAATCTCATATTTATTTATGAAATATTGTATAATATTGTCTTCTACACTTTAGGTTAGTAATTTTAACTAGAAACAATTATTTAACGTTGTCAAAGTTTAACAATGTATACCATTAAAACTTTGATTGACAAAGTAGACAGTTACTCTAAATTATATTTTACCAAAATGTAAGTATAAAAAAAGAGATTTCATTGGATTAATATAAAACCACAATAATTATTAAATTGGGTTACACGAACTTGAATTTTCCCCATACAGTTTTAAAAGAAAAGAATATAAGTAATTTTTTGATATTGTCGGACTAGGTGTTAGCTGAGTTACGTTACTATATTATTGTAATGTACTCAATGAATATTATTTGTTTATTGAGAATATTAATTCAACGTTCCATATTTTTTTTATTAGTTTGTTGAAAATGACTAAAAATATACCCAAGTGTTCGTTAATTGTTTGTCGCTTAATAACTACTATAAGTCTTAAGCAGATTTTATGACTAATAAAATGTACATATATAATGTGAACTATTAGCGCGTAGGCGAAGATTTTTATTTCAAATAAATATTCATAAGGTTGAGAGAGTAGAGCACAATTTTAATTTAAACGTAAATGCAAATGTAATAATAAAAAGCCCGTAGGTATAGGGTAAACCCGTAGGTTAAAAATATGTATTTTTTTCCAGTCTTTATGACGCACTCGGTATTATGTAATCAGGTTAAATTTTTGCAGACATTTTCGTCACAGATTAACTCTTTTTTTACCCTAGCGCAACCTGTAGCTTATTTTAAGAGAGGAATACTATTACATAAATTATATAAGCACAAACGCTTAACGCACTTGACTGTGCTTGTGCAAAAATGCAATATTGTAATAAATAATCTCACTATTAGGTATAAAATTAATGGCGTTTAATATATAAACCTGGCGGGTAGTCATGATCAGATTTCTCATTTTTGTTACAGTTAACCTTTTTATAAAACAACTTGTATATTTTCTACAATTGAGCCGATAGCGTATTGTATATTAGTTATTTTGGTTTAGAATTTTTCCAATTTAAATAACGAAAATACTTTTATTTCTCGATATAGAACTAAAAGGGTAGGTTTCCAAGGACATTATAATAAAAAATTATTATAATATTGAAAAAAAAAGCTAATGAACATCAATAAGAAAAACATACTGGAAATACTTTTGCTAAATTCAATAGCGCCGAAACTGAACAAAACCTAAAATATTCATCTGGTAGGTACTAAAAAATAGATAAATTCAACACCCTGGAAATCCCTGATTCAGCGTGGATCTGGCATTAACCGATGGACGCGTGTATATGTGATAGTGTATAACATATACAACTAATATATTATGTATATTAGTAGAGTACCACACGATTGGGTCCGTGTAAGATTTTAATTATTAGGTACATCAATTTGTATGGACTGTTCTTCCGGCTCACTGATGGCCCTCAATAATAGCCCTCCAGCTAGTAATCTTTAGCATTACCTGATCTAATTTTTTTAAATTTTTATCTCATTTCCAACATTCTTGTCACGTTTCCATTTACCGTTGTGTCCCGCAATGGAATACAAATATTATTTCCGGTATCGACATAGGGTGGTTCTTCGCTCTAAGAAAACGTGTCAACCGTTTTCTTACCAAATTCCGTTAAAGGATGGTATTCTAAATTTGCCTTGGATATGGCTGATCCAACTTTAATTGTCTTTTAATCCGAAAATGTATGTGCGAGAAGCGCCCAAACAGTATAGTATTAATTATTGTCACGTACCCAATAATATGTCTATTCAAAGGTAGTCCAATTTGAGTTTAGAGTACCGTGAATTCATTAGCGAGATCATTAGAGCGCACACTATTATGTATACACGTCCTCCACGGTTTTGATAATACATACATTCATACTATAAATAACCACGACCGAAGACTAACAACCGCAAAAGCATATTAAATTGAAATACAAGAGCTGTTAAAGTGTCTCATCGCTGCATTATTATACTGATAGCATCAACCGAGTGTTTTTAACTCAATTAACGTTACACTATATTATAGTTTATTATATCTGTTATTAAAACAAAAATATCAGTCTTATTAAATATTTTCCTTGTTGCACACAAAATACTTTTGGTATCATCTTCCGCTGTAAATACAATCTGTTACTATTGTACATTGTATATCTTTCACAACATAGTGATAATATGGATATAATATAGGTGATACAAAATATCTTCTGTGGACTCGATGGAAATAATGATTGCAGTCGTTTTATATAAAAAGTATTTGAATTGTATCTTCAAGCAGATATTGTGTACATGATAACAATAGAATAGGTTTTGTTTTTTATTCGCTTTATATTCCGTCTATAATATTATGTAAAATCGAATAGGTAGTAGCAATGTCAGCTGTTGATTCGCTTTAAATAAATACATTTATTAAAATAAGTATTTAAAAAAAATAAAAACAATTACAAAACATCTTTAAGCTGCTAAATTAGTCAAAATTCTAAAACAGATTTATGTCATGTTATTATCATGACATGGTTACTTAAAATTGCCTAAGGTGAGTTTCCACAAATCTACACTGAACAGATACGTATTAAAAGTTCAGGCTATGGCACTTATGTTGGCAGTGGTGCTTAAATTGTACGCTGTAATTTTCTCTAGAAATGTTATTAAAATCTTAGCTATAGGAATTTTCTAATCGGATTCGGGTCCTACTGAAATATACTAACTGATAAAATATTAAATAATTACAACCAATTTTATCGTACCAAAAGTTATTAAAACTTGAGTTGGGCGTATTGTATTTACACTATTTACACAACTTACGGATACTCCCACTTGAGTAGCTAGACTTGTCTGCCTATGTCAAGCTCACAAGACAAGCTACTCAAGTGGGAGTATCCGCAAGTTGTGTAAATAGTGTAAATTATATTTTCCTTACACATATTCTCGTAGGAGCTTTTTATTTTTTTAAAATTTACGCCTAAGTTTATTAAAAAACAATAAGCTAAAGTGCTGTATCGTTTTATGTCATCTCGTTTATTATTTATTTTAATAGTTTTAATATTGGATTCCAAACGGATTTATTGCAGAAGCTGTATTCTACAAAATTTACTGTCTTACAGCGCTTTCAATTATATTATACAGCTCATTTATAAACTAAATACATTTTTCTGTTATAAAATAAGACTAAAGTATAGAAAGGTAATAAGTTTAAAGAAGAAAATCGAAGCTGGAACGTGTAAAGTTACAAACTATCGAATATGCCTAAAAATGTCCATACAATTGAGACACCTGAGAAGACATAAAAGAGCGCATAACCGAGAGAAGCCTTTTCAATGTGTAGTCTGACGCTGCTTACTTTTAAAAACGTGTAATAGCGAATACTATTAATAATGGTGAATATAACGATGGGATAAGATTTTTAAAAAATGCTTACAAAATAATAATTTTCCGTCAACATTCTCATTCGTTTAGTCTAACAAGATTTATTTAATTATTTAATATATACAATATTAAGTTAAATTTTGGAAGTTTTTCAAGAACACTTTTAACTTATTTCACCGCGATTTCTAATTCATTAGGTAAGCAATATAAAATGTCTTGTTGTTTTTTTTATGCAGTAATGAAATAAGAAACATATTTATTTTACCGTCTAAGTGCTAATACACACGCAGAGAGATTTAATATTCTTTATTTGAATCGTTATTTCCTTATTAGACGTTAGCCCAAACTATCGGATATTGAATTACATCCTCTTGTGTTGTCACGTGTCGCAAAAATATTTTAAATTGTATTTCTTCTATTTCGTCGACTGTCGACTTTGTCCTCTTGTCCTCGACTTTTGACTTACCCTATTTATCAACCTCGGTAGGATGTTTGCTTAAAGGTCGCTTGTTTTTATCATGACTGTACAAGTATATCCTTCATAGCGATTAATTAAAATCATCCTAAATTATATCTATTTACCTATATAGAATTATTAGTTCCTGACGTGTCAACAGTACTTTGGGATAAACTGCAATCAAATGGGCCATGCGTAACTGCAAAATTTTACATAGAAATATCATTTGTTCTTATTAAAATGCTTTAACATTGGATGGTTAATTTATTCATTCCCAATTTAATAGTTTTAATAATTACTTTGAAAAGTTTAGCGGTTGCACTTGTCTTTTAAGCTACTCCATTTCACTCTATGCTAAACAATTTAACAAGGCTAATTTGAGTTGCAATACAAATAGGTAAAGTTCGAATAGGTATTTTATGTTACTATATTATGGTTCTATAACTATACATAACTATTCTATGAAATTGTAATCCTATGAACAGTTAAAGTGTCTACCATTATGTTTGGAAACTACCTAATTACATAATATTGTAGATACAAGTTTCCAAACGGTTTGACTGTTGTACTGAAATCTAAATACTTATATTGAATGACTTTTGAGTGTATAAATGGACCAATTTTTTATTTTTGTTTGACCAAATTTATAATTTAAACTTGATAAACTACAATCCGGAATAGACTATTAAAATGATATCTTAGAATAACAGAATACAGTTGTAATTGAAAATTGTCACATTACAGTTGCTGACATTTAACAGCTAATAATGATTGCTTTTTTTATTTTATAGATTTGGCGGCTCGTTCAAGATGCAAAACAATTTTGCTTTGTTGTTATCGACCAGCCTCCTGTTGCTGTTGTCGGCTAACAGAGGGGACAAATGTTTCGCTCAAGGCGCACCGATATCCGAAACTTACGGTAAGATGTTTATGCAAAAATTATTTTCATCATTCTAGGTACCCTGTAATTTATTAAGCTAATGGATTGCCTTCAATCAATTTTTTGAAAACACAAACACGATGGCGCAGTTTGTTATTGTTTGCCTATGTAATATTATTCTGTGAGACGGTCAAAAGTTTTTAATGAATTTTTATCCAAACAACGCGGGCAAAACTTATAACTTTATTTCTGCTTAAAGTATACTCTCGATATTTGGTCGCTCGTTAAATCAATCAACAAAAAAGTTTATAAAGAAATATTCGAGAGTTGTACGTTTATTTCAAGCTAAGCAAAAAGAAAACGACAGATTTTTTTTTACACGGGAAATAATATAATTATTAGTAATGTGAACAACAAAACAAAAACAGGATTTCAGTAAAACTATGATATTTTATTATTCTTAATAAACGATGTTATATTATTGCACAAGACTGTGATGTGGTCACAACCGTCGAAACTTTGTGGTAATAAATAATGTTGTTATAGGTAAAATGATTTAAAAACTTTTTAAAGTTTTAAGATTTAAACTCTTTTCCTTTAAATATAGTTAATAAATTAAAAAAACAAATAAACACTCATACTTGTGCCATGACTATTAACAACAACTTGATATTATGTGATGACAATGAACAAATTTTATCTTGATATTATAAATATCAATATAGTGTATCTAAATAGTAGGTACATACACAACAATATGTGTCTTCGAGATCATATTTGAGCGCTTATCCTACGACTATAATATATATATATATATATACTATCTGGTTCGTTGTTGTTTAAAAAATATGAGAGTTCAGATCGTGTCACGCAGCCACTTGTGCAATGACAGGTAATTTAAAATATTTTGAGCAAGACAGAAACACAGAACGCCATGGATGTAAATTCGTGACATTACTACTAAAACACCGAGTGAGACGGTTGTCGTTTAAACAGCCAAGCTTGGTACTGGCTTTAGCTGGAAGCTACCATAATTGTTCAGCCATGCGTCAAGCTGGTACTTAAACTAAACGCACACAACATTGGTTCGCGTGAATTTGTGTGTATTTGCATGTATTTTATATATTTGTATATTAAACATGTGCTTTGCTCGTTTACCCGTGACGAACGGTCGTTAGTGTCTTTCAGTGGTTGTAAAAAAAAAATTAAACCCAAAGCCGTCGCTTCGGGCAAAAGCACTAATATTATATCCAGTCGGTTCGGGTTAAACGTTTTGCAGCTTTATACACGGCTTACTTGCCGCATCTCTGCGCCAGTGACGTGCATATAGTGTTATCGCAGTTCTATTGACGAGATCTTGTCTGAACTATTATTTTATTCAAAACTTATGTTGTGCCATTGGGAGTAGGAACGTGTATTGTGATGGAATTGCATTAGCTGTACCGTCACACGAGATCCGTCGGTCTTGCACTTTGGGGCAATGTAATTTTGGGGCCAGCAAAGTAGTCCGCAAAGACCCATCGACGTTGTCATGGTGACGTACGGAGCTCGATTTTGGGACCTCAGACCTGGCAAGCTGCGTAAAAAGCAAACGCCGGTTGAAGGTCAATATTTCGGACATCTTGGATTTATGTGCTCTTCGCTGGTCGAGACGCCTAACCTAGTAATAAGGCGTTCTCTGCGAGGAATCATGACTTGCGTTTAAAACAATAACCTAGTTTAACAAACAATACCTTTTCAGCTAAGCACCGAAACTTGAACCGTAATTCCGAGTCCTATAGAACAAAAAAATCGATAAAATTAATGATTCATTAAACCATTATTTATGTTTAAGTACCTACATGGTTTGACCCTGAACATTCAAGCTCTGACATAAGTAGAGTAAACGTGTTAGGTATATTGACCGAAATGTTACTCATACGCCAATAATATTTGAACAATGTTTTATTGAAAAACGATAATTTTTAATTATAATCACAATACTTAATTAGTTTTTTTATCATGTTTTTTTTATAGGGAAATCAAATCTAAGAACGTAATCATTATGGCAATAATATTTCTTTAAATATATTAGACAGTCTAAATTGCATAAAACATCAATAACTGTAATTGTATTGAAATATTTTTCACCAAACCTCGCAACAATACATATTTTAACAAAATAACTCGATATCGACCGTTTTTTATAAATAGATTAAGAAATTACAGGGGAAAACACATACACAAGTAGTTTTAATTTAAACAAAACATATTTTCTAACTAGAAATCCGCTTTGCATCTTACACTGTATGCGCAAAGGTCATTAGTATTACACGCATCTAAGGTTGTTTGCCTCACTCCTTGATTAATTCTTATAAAATTGAATTTGTATATGTTTTAGTGGTAGCACTTAACGATGAAAATTGATTAAAATTAAGTTAATCCTGCACGACAGGCAATATGCTTGTATAGGTTCCCGTCGGTGTGGATTAATTAAATTATGCGCGCTTTTTCCATTATAATACAAAACTCCGGTAAGCCTTGTGCAGGCATTCAGTATTATTATAGGTGCCGTAGTAGGATGATTATAGTGGGGCCATTATACCTAATAATAATTATAATTATTATTATTATTATCTAAAACATTCGCGTTCGCAATATCTGCATTTAAAACAGTTACACATTAACCGCAATAATATTGTAATTCAATTCAATGATTGTTTATCCGTTTTCTTATGTTCTACTTGCGAACGCTGCGCGAGTATGCCTACAAAATACATAAGATTTAAAACACACAAGTGATCACGGTAATGGTTAGAAGTAGTTTTCCTTTAACTAATGGACCCCGAGAAGTTTTTGTTTTGCTACGAAAACCGTCAACCGTGGTGACCTTTGGATAGTGACAGCGCCGTTCTCGTGTAGGCGGGGCCCACGCAAGTCCACGTTCATACCCGTTAAGAATAATAAGAAGCTTGCCGTAGTGACGCTTAGTGAGTAAAAAACCAAAAAAAAAAAATTACTTTTTAGAACTATCAAACAAAACAATAAATCTTCGTGAACATTTTCTTCTCTATTTCGACAAACAACATAATATTGTTTTGACCAAAACACACGTTTTGTGCATTAACTCGAGTCATCATTTTGTGTTATAAAATATAGAATAGATTTCTAATTGAAATACTCTTTTCCAAAAGTCCACATACCGCGATATTGTTTTATCTGCGATCTCGTGGTTAGGTTGAGTTTAGCTCACCAGGCGTTTGGTATGTAAGGAATATTCTACGGCTCTATGTGTAGGCAATTTCGATACGTGTATGCTTAGGTGTACTGCTTATTTGAATTCCGTATACACTAAAGTTTTATACAACATGTTGGAAGATTTAAGATGTAAACTTTTTCTTTTACTTGGCGATAAATCTCTTTCTTGTGATGGACTAACGACCCGTGCCAGATAGCAGGACATTATAAGAAACTGTCTCGGAGGAGAACATAGCGGTGACCCTAAATGGGTCGTTACAACTAAAAAAAAAAACAACGGTAATACCCGCAAGGGTATATATTGTTTTTGAATGAAAGAAAAATAATTTCTTAGCTTCTCTTGAAGCTGTGCTTACATATTATCAAAACTATTTCTGTTATTATTAACTTAAGTTTACTAGGTTTACTTAGGCAATGTAATGCGTCGGTATACATTTTTAATCCTAGGGCATGTTGTCGATATTACAATGCGATTGACATTAAAAAAAAAGAAAACAGGCTAACACCCTGTTTGTTTGAGTAAGGCAATCGGTAAAGAAATCCAATTATGAATAGTTAGACGAGTAAATAATAGAATTAGCCGAGAGGTGATAAAAATCGCCAATGTTTCCCTTCTGATAATATTATTATTGCATGTTCGGCCGGAGCGTTGGCGGTAGATTTGGCGCGTGGGTTGTGTTTTATTATGTCGTGCACAACGCATTTCGCAAAAAAACAATTAAAAACCAAGGTCGTGCACGATTCTAATATCTGCCTGAGTCTAGACGGCCACGGGGGTGAGATAACGGAATTTAACCGAGTTGGTTAATGACCTTTCCTTAACCTGCGGCACGACACCCTCCCGAGATGGCGGCGACGACTTCCTCCCTCGCCGTTAGCTATCTTATCGGGGTAACAAGTTTAAACTATAACACTATATCCTATCCAAAAATAGGTTAACAGGCATAATTGACCACAAACCCGACTTGAGCCAAATGGCTACCTTTAACGGCTTTGGCGTGGCGAATTGAATATTATATTGTATTTTTAGGGTGCCGACAAAAAACCTCTACACCTGTCTCCGACGAAATGCACATATTGGCAGAAATAAAAAAAAAAGAAAGCATATGCATATAATTTTTAATACCAATTATCATAAATGGGATTTCGGTGATATTTTATTTCTTTTTCATAGAATATACTATTATCCATACTGTTAATTTTCAACGAATACTTTGGTTAAGTTCCAACCGCATAATACACTTTACCACTGTACAGCAAAAAAAATAAGGTTCCAAAATATTTTAAGTTTTAACATGTATAACAGTAAAAAAATTTAAGAACTTTCAGTTTTTTTTCCAGTTATTAATTTCTACTATTAAAAGAATAGCTATTTCCTGTTTTTTGTTTGTTACGAGTAATTTATTTTCAATATAAATTAAATAAGAATTCTTGAGCTACTGTAATATATTGTAAGCACAGTTGAGATTGTCATGGAATTTATATTAGTCGTTCAATGAAAAAAAAACTGTTGTTTGTACACTTATTTTTACTAGTACTTAATTGATATTCTCAATTTAAGTTGAAAAAACAATTAATTGTATTATCTAAAGAACCTAAGAAGTTCGGCGATAATAAATACATAAAATACATTTTATCGTTGTTCATTTTCACTGGAACTTTGACTTGAATACAAATTATAATATTTAAAGCATAAAGAATTCATGGAATGCGATCGGCGGATGTCACAGATATGAAAGGTTGAAGGCTATTGAACAAGGCAAAATCGTGTTTTATATTAGTTAACGTTTCCTAAGAATAGC